AGTGGTTGGATAATCAAACTCCAATCAAATCTATCTAAATGAAGCATTTAGTGCGAAAGTGTTTGTCCGGAGGTCGATTTGTCTTGTGAATACGCAACAGTAAGGGATATTAACCTTTATCGTGAGAAGAGATTGATAAAAATCCGCCAATGTCCGTAGAAGCGAAGAATAAACAGAAGAAGAAGCCGATCACCTTCGAAGAGGAGAGCAGCTCCAAGCCTTCTCGCCCGGATTTTGGACCGAGGTTATATATGTTAAGAAATGGGAATGGTTTACATGAAGAATTCAAGTATCGGAAACACACCGAATATGGTACAAGCATTATAACAAGATTAAACAGAATGATTGACATGGGAAATTAAGGGTTTAAACATAAAAATGCAAATTAGTTAGATAACAACAAAAAAGTGTGGGAAACAATTTTAAGGAATGTAGATATGGTAAGAGTGATTCATAGCATCATTAGCATTAATTTACAATGTGAATGAATTTATTTGAGGTTTCGTTTTCACGACAAATAAGTTGATTTCAAAGTTTTTGTGGAGAATCAAACCTATGACAGTGTGGAATTACTAACTTTTTATAATGCATACTGAAAAGCAAGAACTGTAAATATTGTAATCTTAAAAGGTCAAAATCAATAAAACTTCGAACTGTGATCATGAAGGAAAGAAAAATTACCTGTCGTTTCAGTGCCATGGTAAAGGGTACACATCACCTGTCCAAAGATCCATGATTTGTTGTTGAGTTGTGCGGTAGCAACTAGAGTTAAATTAGCTAAATACATGAAATCAGCTAGACATAAGCTGATAATGTAAACATTGGTGATAGAGCGCATGTATGGCTTAACAATGATGATAAGAATAATCAGTAAGTTAATACTGCCAACGGATACCAGAATTAAGTGAACTAAGGTTAAAAATAAGCGAATAGTTTGGATATTGGCATCGGGAAAAAAACCTGTGAAATTCATTTCAGCAACAGAGATGCAGAACATTGAATTTTTCTCGAATAATCCGAAAAAGAATTTGAAGATCCAAAGAGGATTTTAATTCGTTATAATCCGAAAAGTTGATAAATTACTCAGTTTTTAGTAATTGCAGCAAAAAATGGTATTGTATTAAAACGGTTGGAAATTCAGAATAAAGATGAAAGTAGAGGATAGTTTCGATGGGACGGTTGTTTAAGAAGGTTTAACCTTTTCCAGTTTCTTCGTTTTGATTATTGATTCTGCTTCAGTGACATGCCTTCTGAAGTAAATTTGTAATTTTCATTTTAACACCATCACATTTTCTTTTTTTCAGAATTCGGAACTAAAAATTTCTCGTAAAAAAAATTCAAGGAAACAGAGAATGATCTTTACCCATGAAAAACAATTAATAGCAGTTCAGAAGAATAGATTGGTTAGAAGTTATTTGGACTAGATTAAATTAAATTGGATTTAAACTGAAGAGGATTAATTGTATGCTAAAATTCGCCGCAATATATTACTGTCCATATCACATCATGATTGTATAATGAAGCAATTATTTTTTCTGAAATACGTCCTTCGTTATGAAATTTAACGAAAAGAACGAATTCCTTCTATGAAAAGCTACATTTCTGAATATTAAATGGGACATTTTAACAGCACATAATGATAAGCGAGAAAAATGCTAGAAGGAAATAAATTACCGATGAAATTTCGCGCCATCAAATAACTTCACCTCACTCGTTCAAACTTATTTATGAAAAATAAATTTGGCAAAATATGCTCTGGTTGAAAAAATAGCGAGAGGTAAAGAGATATGCATATCAGAATAATGAAATATGCGATTTCATGAAAAATGATTTTAAATGAAAATTTTTAATATCATATATTCAAGGTTTATTAATCAATATCTTTTCCATGGACACTCCTTGTCATAGGGAGAAAAGCTTGTGCTCATTATGAGGCTGCGAATATCTAATGATGGCTTATGCCTCTAGTAGGATCTCTGATGCCCGACAGACCTTAACTCAAGAGTCAGACAAAATGCGTCCACGAGCAAGATGGGCTCGCTAGCCTTTCGATAACTACGTGAACTACGTGAAGGACAACTAACTCCAAATCAGACAGATGAAGTTCGTTTAATCTTGTAGGACCATCCATCTAAGATAACAAAACCTCCTCTCTGAGGACTGTCTAGCTCGTTAGGCCCTGGCAGATAAACCTTAAGAGTAAAGGGTGGAGCATGATGTGGCGCTCTGAATCCTGTGCAGACTTCAAGGATACTCCCATATTTGTAATGTTTGCAGCAAGTGCGGATAGACCTCCCCTCCAAATCTTCGTTCGCGAAGCCTAGCCATGATGATGATGACTGGTGTTATTTTTGGAGGTCTGCAAAGTGTAAATTCAGATGAAATTAAAAGAATGATAAAGATTAGATCTAAACTTAGATTATCCAGCACTATCTGGTGGGTTAGTCAAAGTTTCTGAAAGGTTTTACAATTCAGTTGTCGATGTTATACGGTTATACATGCCCAAGTTATTGGCTTTATCTACACAGTTCGTTCTACTCATTTCTTCTATTTTGTATTTCCATAGGGAAGGAACTTGTTAAAATAAATGAAAAATAAAATAAAAATAAAAACTGTTCTCTTTCTTTCTTTTCTTCTTTTTCCCATGCAGGAGAAGATATGATAGAATAATTTGCCTAAAGCACACAGACTTAGATCTTCCCTGAACTTTATATCATATTTTTCGGTAGAATACAAAGATTTTGATAACAAGGGATTATTGAAGATGTTCCATCTCATCATTGGTGTTTTGAAGTGATTGAAAATTCATTCTCTTACCCCCTCAGAACTACATTTCGAGTATTTTCTGTTAGATTGGAAAAAGTCAACAACGAAATCGCTTAAAAAATATTGAAGTGCTTATTCTAAAATGGCTATTAATTGATATTTGCCTGTAAACCTGCATATGAGTGCTATTCCGATAACATACACTGCAAACACTGATCATTTACTTATTTGGTATGCATTATATTGTGTTGACCGAGGGATTTCTCCAGAAAATGCTGACAAAAACAACTTGGCAAAAATACAACATGGCTCCTGGATTTCAGGAATTGGTTTTATTTTTTGAAAAATGAATACTGTTGCATTTCCTTTTCAAGTTGAGATTCTTAAGCGAACAAAAATTTTAAAAAAAAGTGGTGGTTTGTTTAAATTATGCAAGAAAAGGTAAAAAGGTAAAACAAAAAGTAAGCAGAAATCTATTTTATAAGGAGTTGTATTTAAATAAAAAAGAAATTCCATTCATCGTTTTCTTGCCTATTTCTATCTCGAAATAAACAGGAAGGAGCAAATTAGCAGTATTTTGTTTGCAGTCAAAATTAATGAATTCTCTCATCTTCATTTCAAACTTCTTTTTTATTACAAATAGACACTTCCTCTTTGTTCAGTTCCAGAATTTTTTCATAGGAAAATAAGATTAGTAAAATCGAACTTGATAGTTGCATAACAAGACAATCCGGCATTTTTCTGTTGAATGTAATTCAAATAACGTATAAAGTTATCTTTTGAAATTTAAAGTTAGTGGAAACTAAAAAGTCTATCAGGACAAATTGAAGTTCACTGTATAATTGAGCGCTTCCGAAATACAAGTATATGATCCTGCTGAAGCAATCAAGATGAGACTTAGAAGTCGTTTTATGTAGAGGTACAAAGAAAAAGGATATAATATGAAGTGTCAAACAAGAATTGTTAATACAATCACAACAAGACTGTATTAACTGATATCAAATTAGTGAGCTTTGGCCACTCCAACAACTCAGGCCAAGCTTCAGTTAATAATAAAAACGATTGAGATGCATACCAAAAGGGTAATCATTTTGCTGAAGTCTCTCGTTTATGGTTGTTTGCTTATAAGTTTTGTAACGTCTCATTTGCCAAGAATTTAGAATTAGTGATAAGTTCCTTTTTCTTAAGAATTAATGATAAGTTCCTTCCATCATTCAAACCAAGCCAAGCCAATTCACATTATACATAAAAATCAAGAAGTGCAAAAAAAAAAAAATAACGGTGGTTCGATCTCTGTGAAATGATTATCTGTTAATTAAATTAGGATGAAAAAGAAAAGGATCCGAAAAGACACACTTCACTTTCATAACATTCTAAAAGAATCATAAGAGACACAGCTAGCTCAGCCTTTTCACTTTGCTAAAGCAGAAGTACAAATAGCTAGTGGCAACCTATTTTCCAATTAAGTAAAGGTGTCGCCTTTGTCACCTTCATGATTGCTATGTTAAGCTACGCTAAAGCAATACCGATGCATAATTTACCGTCATCCCCGCAAACCATTATTGCTATCGTGATTTGGCATATAGGCATTGACATGAATTTGTGTGGGAAATCCAAAAAGCTAGTTGATATTTTTTTTTGTATTTCTTCCAGTAGATAACTAACTTCGTATATGTATGTCACTAAAGTATGTCTTTAGAAGGAGAAGCTTTTGTTGAACTTTTACAGAGAGAGAGAGAGAGGGAGAGGAAGAGAGAGAAAAAGATTGAATGAAATGAAAAAATTTTTCGTTTATCCCTGTGCTTACATGAAGCACATAAATTAATCATACTTTTCATACATCATTTTAAAGTCATTGTAGAGAGCTGTTCTCCATTAGTTAAATCTGGGATAATTGAAAGAAAACCTGAAAGGTAAGGCATTAATTTTTTTTCAGTTAACAAACAGCCAGAAACGAGGAAAAAAGCAGTAAATATATATTAAACTTATCAAAAGTGCTATAAAGTAAAGCGAAATGTTGTAGTGCGCAGGAGAATTTTAGGGAAAGTTCGATTTTGCTAATAAACAAAAAGAAAATCTTTTTCCTTTCCAGAAATGGAAAAGATTTTTCATTCATTTATTTTCATCCATGCATTCTAATATTTACTGTTGAGCAGAAGTTTTTAAAATTTCCCGCTAATCGATTTCTGTTTAGTTTCTATCTTATTAGAATCTCAATCAAAAAATAGCAAAACGAAAAATTCGGAAGAGATCAGACAGCTATCAGAACAAGTAAATTAGTGTTTTCTATTGCAATTATTTAGAATGATTAATTGATTTTTTGTTTTGAATTTTAAATATTTTCTTGAGTAAAATTTTGTAAGGAGACATCTTCATGAATGGCAAAAAGGCAAGCAATAGATAGATTGCATTTTCAGCATGAAATAAAAAAAAGTTGTTAATGATAATGAAATGAACTGAACTGAACTAATCAGCTGTATTTATCTCCTCATGTAATATTTTATATTAACTAATTAACTTCGTTATACATTCACACTATCTATTCCAGCTGACTTATTTAAATATTTAAATTATGCAGTATGAATGCTCGTAAAGAGTTATTATTAGTAAAGTTCATAAGAAAAACCAAACTTCACTCCATTCTTTCCTTCTTACTATGTTTTATTCGTCTACACAATGAAGGACAAAAGCGCAGATGGAAGTGAATAAATCTGCTAAAGAAAGGACGACGGTCATTTGCATGTCATGTCATTACAATGGTTAACAACAGAAATGTGTTCATACACCTTTTTTTTGGATTACTTTTTTTTTACTGTGTCATCAATTTCAAATGCGAACTTTCCCCAATGGTCTTCAAAGAAAGACTTATTCAATATCCAGAAAATTTAAAGAAAGGGAATATTTATAAAAGTTATTATGAGCACAAAAGAACGAACAAAATTTTTATTTTCGAATAAATGAGGAGGAGTCAAGGTCAATAAGAGTTCAAATAAATACTGCAGAGGTTAAAGTCACCGGAAAAACTCCGATCTATTGAAACTGATCGAAAGAACAACAAACTCGCTCTAGCAATTCTAATGTTCACAGAATTAGACTGATACGAGTGTCTTCACCGTTTATTTTAAAAAATAATTCTTACAAATAATGAAATAAATATGAAAAAACTTCGCAAATTTTGTTCTTCAGCAAAAAAGAAGAAAAAGAGATCGAATGAAAGCTGTAACTCTTTTTTGAAGTCGTCTTTCAAGTGACAATTTTCGAAATTGCAATAATAAACAAAGCCTCTAAGTTGCTGTTGTCATAGGGGTTGACATTTTTTTCCATGATACCAAAGAATGCTTTCATTGCTGTTACATCTAACAGATGTGAGCCACAAAACTGCAAATTGCCTCACCCATATCTTCCGTTATTTAATTATAAAAACGTAAAATTATATTACACCTTTACTTGATTATAATTATAAAAGTGATAAGCAAATTTCTTGAAATATCATCTTACCTAAAGATCTACAGCGAAATGTGTGTTTAGCAAACAAAGAGCACAAACTTTTTAATTATAACAAATGAGTGGGATACCAAAAATGAACCTACCTGAGCTCAGGTAACCTTTGGAGACAAAAAAAGGAACACATTCGTAGTTCACTGTATTGATTCTTATTGATATCAGGAAAGTACCCGACGATTTTAAAATCTTTTTCATGAATTTCTGCTTGGATCTAAAATGGAAAATTTTTTGTAAATGATTTAATGTTTAGGTTGCGAACTATCTTTTTTGACCAATGAATTTTATAAGAGTTAATTACGTAATGACTCATTTGGTTGACATGCGCAAAAATCGTATGAGTAAACGGTTACACGGCGAAGGAAAATTACAGAATGATAGCCTAAGTGAGATGGATTCGCTTTATGGCTAATTGCATCGCATCAACAACCACAACATCACATTAAAACCAAAAGAATTCATATATGGCTTCAAAAACTGGTCCATTACGTAAACTTTACTCAGACCTTCTAGGAAGAAGCGTTGTTACTCTCCGATAGCTTCTGGTACTATCTGTTGTAATCTTGTGACCCTATTTGTTCTTGAAAAATAGATTGGAGGACAATGAAGGGTTCTATTAGCGAATTATTGCTTTGATCATTTCGCATTAATCTTCTTCTGGTTTCACTGTGTTTCTCTTCATCTGTAACAGTAAGGTTAAATGGTTAGCAGTCAATGAAGAAGCCAATAATTGAAATGTGGAATGCAGGATACTTTGAAGAAAAGACTTGTATCATATGAATTTAGGATGGTTTATTACATGTTAGATTGTCGAGATCATTGTTTCAACAGGTCTAATGAGGATTTTTTTTAATGAAAATAGGAAGTTGAAAAGAGGTATGAATGCATACTATTACTGAAAGATTTCTTTTATTAATTCATAATATTTATGACATTCTCTTGACTTTTGTTTTCTTGCATCACCGCAGTTGTGAGAAAAAAGTATCAGCGATGAAACGACAAGATGTGGTGGATGTTTCATTCTTCTGACCTTTCAAAAATTTTTTCGATCATGCATTTGTTTATCTGTTCTAAAATTATCTTACCCCTGTGAAAACTTGAAATCTGAAAGAATTCAGGTCGATTAAATTTTATGCTCGTAATATTTTAGAATTATAGCAACAGATGTGCAAGTGGGTCTTTGTACTGTGTACGGAATTCATTTCATTTCACATAACCTGCTTCGGAAATCTGTTTTCCGTTTTCGTTAGGTAGTATTGTTGGTCTTGACCGGCCAGTCCCTATTCCTTCTATTAATAATGCTTTGCAGTTTATTGTTTACATTGTTTAGTAAAGTATCAAAAAAGTGCCAAATGTGGTATTAAAGTTCGATCCACCACAAACCAGTCCAATCGTAATCGCTCATACAATGAATCAGGAAACTTAGGGAACACTGTGCACATCATCATTAGAACAGATACTTATCAGTGAGAGTTTGTGCTCCGATTCCAAGTTTTTCATTTAAAAATTTTTTTGCCTGAACCAACTTTCCCATTTAAATACTATTTGCTATTGCAATTCGCCCTTCGAGTCAGTGGTAATTTGCTGAACTCTTACTTTGCTAGTAAAACTGCAAATTTCTTTCAAGCTTCCTAAAAACCTTCGAGATCTCTGAGGCCAAACAGTAATAAATGCATTATCGAGGCAGTTATTCTCATCCAATACGTTAGTTAAAGATGATGATATTGTTATCAAAATCATTTTTATCTTTTTCGATTGTGGTTTTTTCAATGCAAACAGAACAAAGTGCAATCTGAGGCGGTATTTTTCTTTCTTACACAGATCTACTTTGACATTTTCCCCTGTGTCGCCGATTTGTTGATACGGAAATGGTGTCAGTATTGGTTCAACCGAATTCATATCTATAAAGTGTTTTTGTGTAAATTGTTGAGATAATGTTCTTGTTCGGTGACGTACCTGTCACTAATGAGCCTCAGTAACTCACCAATCTTATTGATAAGTGGATGATTTTATGACCTCTCCTCACCCTCCTATCACCTCCCCCCTCCTCCTCAATTCACTTATTCCTTCTCATGTCCAAAATCTAACAAAAAGCTTGAATAATGCAGTTTTTTAAGAAAATTTGAATTTGCAGAGCATGAAAATCAGATGAAAATAAAAGAAATTTGAACCTGTTTGAAAATTCATTTCTGTATATTTTTTTTCCAACATTTGAACTTCGTGTGGAGTGCTTCGTGCCTGTGATTGTTTGGGAAGTGCAGATAAGTCAATAATCCATCATTGAATGCCAGGTGACACTCTTTCTGCTCTTTCTGCGGAAAAAAAAATGTTTTGAGCTCACTGATCTTTTCCTTTTCTTATAATTCATTTCTTGAAATAACACAACTGTCTAAGTAACAATTAATCGCTAACTAGCTGAAGTTTCACTTGTTCAGGATTAGAAAGTTGTCAATCAAATAGTCCCACCACAAGTCGCATTGTGCTGAATGTCGCAAATTCTAACAGATATTTTCCAATTTCCATATCTCTCTAAATTTTAAAAAACAAGGTACAAGAATCTGTCGTATATTAAAAACTTTGTGCTTTCTAAATTATTCAATCCGCTTTCTAATGATGTTAGTTAATGAAACTGTTAAATATACAAAAGATTTTGACGATTAGGATTTTAAAATGACACTGCTATGGAGACAAAGTAATTGATAATAACAGTAATTTGACATGATAAGAGTTTTCGATTTAGAATTTCCATTCTCCCGATGAGACAACAGGAAATTAATCCATTAAACTTGGTACTTTCGAGCCTACCAAACATCAACCAATCGAAACTAAGACGTTTAATTTCGGAAAGATTCGGTTAGGTTTCGGAGAATAGGCTATTCCCACTTTACGGATCCAGATATATTATATAGGAAATCTTAATTTTGAATGAGTAAACTGCACATTATATATAAATACGGATATACACTGTCCTGAAGATACTCCTCCAAAACTTGTGGGCAGTTCCGGAGAGACGAAGCTTAGCTTCGAATACTCACTGATTCGACTTTTGATTTGTAATTAAATATTAACTTAGGTGGTCATACCTTACCGAACGACAGTGTTAGATGGCTAGAAGTGGTGAGAAGCTTTAGCCTATTGAGATTACAGTAACTTCTAGCTCTCTTGCGGACCTAAAAATTTTCATAAATTTCATAGAAAATGTTAACTAGAGCTTCCTTCACTAGTTACTTAGTTGTTTCATGCCTGAATGGGAAGGTGGCAAGATTTCCGACTGACTAAAGGGGTGACAGGTATGGATGACTAGGGAGATGACAGTCTGGAATTTTGGAGAAGTGCCGCTTGAATAATACCGTGTGACAAGAATTCGTCCAAATGTTCCTGTATTTCTGTTTACATGTTCTGTATTGCGTGATTAGTTTCTGAAAAGTACGCTAACGAGAGTAACAAGTTCCTCATTCTTTTCACTGACATTCTGGAGATGACCATCGATAATAAACTTTCCTCACCTCTTCCACCCCTTCATCTCACTTCCTCTTTTTCTCTTTCTTTAGATCGTTACATCATAAGCGAGTGGTGCACATATACACACACACAGACACAGACACACATGAACACGCACACACACAGACACACACACACACACAGATACTCACACCTCAACAAATAAGATTTTATTTGTGTGCTGATCTAATGTAGCTTTTATTTTTATTGATGCCATTTTTCATTCAAAGTATGAATACGTCAACATCAGTGCATTTCTTGAGATAGACTTCTTTGTATATCTTCGAATTTATTAGGCCATCTGCGCCGGAGGCATCGTGTGAATTGACCTCGGTGACATTTGGCTACCGCAGTAGATGCAAGCAGTAAATGATGGTACAGTTGATACTATGCTTCATGCTGAGTGCACAGATGTGGACGATAGCGTAAGAAATGCTGAAACCCGCTCGGCTCCCGGAGATCTCGAGAAACCATCTTCTTCCAGGGAATATCATTTCTCCCGTGATGGTACTTCCTTTTATCAACTTCATCTAAGACAGCAGAGTGGTTGCTAGTTGCGTGATTCATCCTCCCTTTGATTATTTGTTCATCATAAAAAGCTGCACATTGCCTTATTTTAAATGTATTTAAAGTATAAAATCAATTCCTTATTACAGCTATTATTGGCAACAATCCGAAAACTTCACAATCTCCATCAATTAGTGTCTTTGATGATAAATCTCCACCGTCTGAACAAGGGGAGTCCAAAAAAAGGCCCGCTGGACATTACAGGTCGGTTTAACCCAAACAGTTCCAATTTTTCGGGTAAAAGTTTGACGTTTGCTAGTACTTCTTGCGTATATCGTCGATTGGAACTATGCAGCGTTAAATGAAATTTAAAAATTTGGATAAAGTCATGTACTTCAGTCATAAAAATTATTAAACTTTCGATTCAGAAATTACAACAATGGTTTTGCTTCGGGTCCACCATGGCCAATGCAAAAACGAGAAAAGCCTTGGTCAACAGTATGTGTGTGGCAAAAGCAACAACAAATCCAGGCTATCGAGAAAGAGATCAATGTCATGGCAACAGAGTCCTTGGTTGGATTACGGAATTGGAGGTTAAAATTTCTGTTTTTTCCTTCTGTTATACACTTTTAAGAATATGTTATACCAACCAAATAATGTTTCAAAACCTTTTTTCCCTGCAATTTGATTGTGATCATTTTTGGCTGCAGGAAAATAAAATTAAAGTATCGCCTTTTTCTTTTAGAAGCAATGATCTACAGCTACTTCAAATTATTTTTTCCATGTTGCATTTCAAATATAGTTCCCAGGATCCAGTAAACTGGATTGCTTCAAAAGCTAATTTCTTAACTTTTTATATCCTGTGATTAATGACAACATCTATAAATAATACAGATCTATGAGTACAATATGAGCCCCTTGAATCCAGCGCTTGATTAAATTGATTATGATTAGAACAGCTTCGATTTAATCACGAACGCAATAATTTAATAGACTCCCTTAAGCTATGGAAAATGATATATCCTACCTTAATTCAACACCATCTATTCTTTTCCCGGCATTGAAATACAATACGCGTTTAAGTTTCATTAAAACAGTCATCAGTGTACTCTCAAGTATTTCAGACCTAAATGGTTACAGCGATTTGGTAGAAGAAATTGGATGTTGCTGTGGATGTGTTGGTTTTGTACAGTACAAGGATTACTTGTGAATGGTTTGGTTCCTTCGGCGATAACTTCTATAGAACGAAGATTTCAATTCAACTCATCAACTATAGGTCGTATCATGCAGGTAGAGATTTATCAAGTAGTTGTTCTGAACTTACCTTTCTCTATCTCTCTCTCTTTTTCATTATAGTTTTAATAAAGATAATTTGCTATTAAATTCTGCAAAATTTATTCATCCGCATTGTAGTAAGATTTCAAAACTTCTTTTTATAGTTTTACGATTTTGGCTATGTACTTTTGTGTATACCTGTCTCTTACTTTGGTGGACGTCACTCAAAACCGATGGTGCTTGCAGTGGGGTTATTACTGATGGCATTAGGCAGCTTTATTTTCACAATGCCGCATAATTTCTCAGATTCATACACTTCCACCTATAATGCTCATGAACCGACATATAGTAAATGCGATCCTTCACATACTTCTTTCGGTTAGCATCGTTTTATTTCATTGTTACTGTCTTTTTTTTGGAAGAAAAGGAGTTAACTAGACGTTTTGCGTATAACTCTTAAATCGACCCGTTTCTTGTCCGAATATTTCCTGCAATGAATGAGTTGGTAAATAGTGAAAACTATTAGTAGTTGATTTATACCACTGCTACTTGATATTAACATTTTGGATTTTCTCAATTAAAAAGACCATAACGGAAATAATTGCTATAATCTTCTTCAAAACATTTCTAATACATTTTGAATGCTTGGAAAATTGATATTTTTAAATGTCCTTTTATTGTGCTCGGTAGCGGGTAGTTCGCCTTGTAATCCCTCTTTGTCCTCTTTCGATTTCATGGGAAGTACTTTCATGCATAGAAGTTTTGAAATATGCAGTAATAACAGTAACTGTTTATTAAGTTGGCAAAATATATAGGCCGAATCGTTTCCAGTTGTTATTATTAACTTTGGAAAGTAAATTTTTGCAGGAGCCAGAACAAAGTATGCTGTACTGAATAATTCATTTTATTCACTAATGTCAGCAGCTAGTGCTGAAGCTTTACGAGGGTGTCCATCTCCCGGAAATCAGGTAATTCATTCTAGATTGGTAGGATTTCATTCCAGGCTTTTGGGTTGTTCAAGAAGTAGTTTACTCACAGCTTCAGTTTTTTAGCCCGGTACTTTTCGATACGTGCTTCTGTTTTGTCTTGGTCATTTTCTTCATGGTATTGGTGCAACACCATTGTTTACCCTTGGTGTTAGTTATATCGATGAAAATGTTGGCCCAGCTCTTTCTTCGCTTTATCTTGGTAGTTTTGAGTTCTAATCTTTTGATGTTTGAAAACATTTTTATACAAATCTGCAAATTATGTGTTCAAAATTCAAGAAAGACACGAGGCATCAAAGATGTTGTCGACTATCATTTATTGGGAGATTGTACGTTTTACTGTACCATTCTGTATTTTGAAACAATAAAACGTTTTTTAATGGGGATTATAGAGTTATTGACTAAATATCACTTAAAAAGTTACATCAGTCGAAATCAAAGTGGTGTATTTGGGAGAAGGTATGATGTCTGATTATTAATTGAATGTGTTAATTTTTACTCTATTTTTAGAATAGAACTATACTAGTAGGTATCATTACCACTTCAGGTATTTTCTATGCCTTTGCAATATTTGGTCCGGCTTTTGGGTTCCTGATGTCTAGTTCGTTTTTGCGTTATCATACTGATTTCTTGCAGTCAGAGCTTCATATCAAGTTAGTTTCCTTACTTTTAATATACCTTTATTCAACAATGTTTCTGTATTTTTACTTACAGGATATATTTTAAGGATTTTAAATATCGATGAAACCGACCCAAAGTGGGTGGGTGCTTGGTGGATTGGCTTTCAGATAGCTAGTGCTCTGGCTTTAATTGCCGTTTTTCCCATATTGGTTTTGCCGAAAGTTCTTCCGGAATCTCTTAAATGGCATCGGTGAGTTTAAATTTTCTGCGGCATTTAATTTAAAAAACACGATTTAAAAATCAGAAGTCAGCAGCATAAAAACGTTTAATATACAGGATAAACTTATCAACATTTTGGCTTTGTTTATAGAACACGATTACACGAAGAAACAATAGCTGGTGCAAAAAAACGTACTCCAGAATGTTGCGGTATTCCGTCTGCAAGCAAAACAGCTGCAGTTTGTGGACCTCTTTTACCACCAGATAGTGAAGGTAAGGCAACTTCTTGCGCATATGGTGATCGTGTGGTGTCAAACATAGATAGTATTGACTGTTATAGTATCGGAAATTAAAGCTTTCACGGAGTTTGACGATCATTTTAGACGACGAACTAACAACGATTTCAGAATTATCAGCAGTATTAACTACCGGAATAGTTTCAGGCAAGTCTCATTTCTCATTTCTTAAGTTTTATTAATTGAAAAATAACCTTTCTAATCTTCGTGATAAGGGAACCTCTTGGAAAAAAACTGTGATGTAAAATTGAAGACGTAAAATTTAAAATTCTTCAGATCCCGTGAAAAGTCTAATTTCCGATACTATAATATACGATAGTATTTAATCAAATCGCAATCAAACGATTGCCGTACAAGAAGTTTTATGAATTTACTATAAATTTCCTTTCTTCAAACTTCACAATCTTCAAAACGTTGGAGAATCCTCATGAATTCATTAATTATCGGTTATGATAGTATTGCGGAGTGTCTGGACTCCAAATTAAATTCCTTAATTTCTATTCAAAATTTAGTACAAAAGAGTGATCTTTAAAAGGTACGACAACTATTCAAACTATAACAATTGGAGAATCAATGCCAGCACTACAAAATAATCGCGGCCCGATTTGGTATCACATATGGCTTGATGTTCGACATATACCTATAGCTATCTATAGAATAATATCAAATGGTAGCTATATGTTCATTACTTTTGCCATGGCTGTTGATGGTATGTTTCGAAAAGTTTCATCTTTTTTAGATCATTTTTCTTAATGTTTTTTTTTTTAGATTAGCATGAATTGAAGTTATTTGATTATTCAATTATCGTTATTTGTCCAAATATTCCTTGCCCTCCGTATTTATATATGCTCCGTAATCCATATTGCTTATTATTTTGATTGTCGTGTTCAAATAAGATTTTCTGCTTCTTGTTTTTTGCTCCCTTCTTTTCACGGATAAGGGGATAGGTTGTCCATTGAAAGCGTCGCATATTCTTCATTGCTTTCGATTTACGATCTTGATAAATTGATTCTTGTGTTTTGTTGCCAGTTATTCTTTGCCATTCTGTTCTTTCAGTGCCATGATTTTTTCGGAAATGTAAGGACCTGAAATTTTTCAGACACAGTGCTTTTTTTTAATGCAGTAAACCTAATAGTTATCCGAAACATTTGTATCAAGTTATCTTTTCTTAAGAAAAAAATTGTTTCAACTTATAAAACACAATATTTCAAAAGCACTTACCGACGTGGTTACATCTTATCAACCAAATTAGAGCCATGACAAAAAACAACACGACGCGACCCATTATTTCACATTTAATGCATATTTCTATCCTTATTTATAAATGAAAATCAGGCGTGGCATGGAAATATTAATCTTTTTGTTCGTCATATTTTTTCATTCTTTCGCAGTTTTCAAAATTTTAAAATATTGTATTGGATATCTTGGTATTATTCGAATTGTTCCGTTAGAAATATTTATTCCTTCAGGGTTTAATAGTTGTATGAAATTTTTGGAATTTTCTAAAGTATAATAAAGAATTAATGCTTCTTAAGGAAAAAGGGATGGATAGATTCAAAAAAAAGTGGAATGCCTAATGCTGCCTAATTGTTGCCTAAAGTATCTGATTGTTCGACGTTGGGGAATGGGGTGAACAACAAGAGATATGACCTTAATTTTATGTATGCTCCAATGATTTTTCAGATTTATTTGTGCAAAATTTGCAGGATTCATTATAACGGGTGCATCGACATTCATGTCAAAGTATCTCGAACGACAGTTCAGCGTTGCACCAAGCAAAGCAAATATGTTAATTGGTGTAGTTCTCATTTATATTCCAAAAATTCGAACTTGCAGCTTATTCTTCTAATCTCTGAAGGTCTCTCAAAACTAAAACTGTTTTCAGGTTGCATAATGGTTCCAATGGCTGGAATAGGTACAATGTTTAGTGGTTTTATCGTTCAGCGGTTTCGTTTGAGCTGTGTTAAAACTTTGAAATTTTGTATAGCATTGCTAATGTGTACGCTTATCTTGTCACCAATGTATCTCGTTTATTGTGATCACGATCCGCTTGCTGGAATTGAAGAGCATTATGAAGTGGACACGTGAGTTTGTTTCTGCTTCAAAATTTTCTCGTTAAATTAGAACTCATCGATATCCTAAACTTTTTAGATCACTATTGATGATATAATGAAGTTTTTATTGTTATGTTTATACTTTCTGAGGATGAATGAGAAATTTTGCTGCATTTGAAATTGTGCACCTTAAAATTTGAAGAAAACTAGTTTTTAATTTCTTACCATTTTCTTACCAGATTTTAAGTTTTCAGCTTTAATATCACTCCGCAGCTTTTTCACTTTTTACTTGTTTAATCAATTTTCAGCACTTCAAATTCAAATCAGAATAATAATGCTTCGGAAATATTACCTACTCTAAAGTCCATTTGCAACCGTCATTGCGACTGTGTTTCAAGTGAATATCATCCAGTTGTGCTGAATTTTACAGTGACAAACAGATCTCTTTCTATTCACCATGTTTCGCAGGTTGCCAACAAAACTATGGACCGCTCAGAAAGGTTATTTTGTAGAATCTCGTTTACACTTTAACTGAAAATGTAATAGTACCCTATAACAGATGGATTTACAGTCTGCTTTGATGGATATTATGATAAAAACGATAAACTTAACTGATTTTAACTAGGCCTTGAAATAATTACTTTCAAAATGTAATTTTAATGTTCATTTCAGATGTATTACAACTGTTCATGTGTACCTGAACACACAAAATTTGGATATAGAACCGTCAAGAATGGAATGTGTGAATCGAAATGCAGAGGGCTGTTTGGATTTCTTGCCCTGTTCGCTCCATTCTGTTTTTTCGCATTTGCTGTCGGCGTTCCTTTAATTTCGGTAGTATTAAGGTATTGTTAGTTTCGAAACTTTTAAGACTAAGTCAGAAAATCTGGGCGATGTTCTTAGTCTTACTTTAGTAGTCAAATTTTTTTAGTACAAATAGTTGATAGACAAATTTGAGCGGTTTTTTTTTTGCACTAACTTTTTATTACGTACGCTATATATGCAAAAATTATGGAGTAAACTAATTCTTTTTTAGAACAGTTGATTATGCTGAGCGTTCATTCGCACTTGGAATTCAATGGATTCTAGTAAGAGTTATTGGTACCATTCCTGCGCCAGTTCTTTTTGGATGGATGTTCGATGTGTCATGTATTCGTTACAATTTGGATGTTTGTTCTGGCAAAGTATGCTACTCAGACTTCATTTTTTTCTTAAAATTTCACCAAGTTCTGGTTTTTCACTTCCATAATTTTCAGCAAGGGAGCTGCATGCTGTATCAAAATAAGCTTTTGGCCGATCTTTTTCTTGCTTTCAGTGTAATTGGTCAGGTAAGTTTTCTTTACCGAACAATTTTGCTTTTAACTTGAACAGCGTTTCGACAAAACAAACAATGATCTGTCAGTGTTTTAAATTTGCAGCGGATATTGCTATTGAAGCTATTTAAGTGGAATCAAAACATTTCTGAAGTTGAAATTTAGGTACATTTCAGACAATCGCCATGGTGCTCCTAATTTGCACGTTGTTGTTTTTCTCATCTCAAATGCGTGATGACCCACTGCCAACAGAAGCAGTTATTGAGAATCCAGAATTGAGTCAAGTTATTGAAGAAGAGGCAGGAATGGCAGTAACGATGCGAACAAATATTACCTGAAACAGCTGGTGACGAAATGAACTCAAGTGAAGATTCATCATGCACCATGAAGTAAATTTGATTTTGTGAACTCTGTAGTATTGGCTCAGGTTTCTATATCTTTATATTCAATGATGCACATATTTCAGGCTAAGCATAAGAGAATAATTTAGAACGATCAATGGTTCTAACTCTGTCAAATGTAGGATTTTTCTCGAATGTAGATTTCTTTTAGGTTTCCATTGCTTAATTGAGAAGGAGGCTGTCTCAAACATCCTTCAGGAAAACAAATATTGATACCATTGAATAGCAGAATATTCATAATGCCAACAATTTTTTAAACTGGATTCTTGGAAGGAATTTACAAGTGGAACTCATTGCAAGAGATTCATAAAACGATCTTGATGCGGTACTGATTCACTTGTTAGACTTTTAATTTAGTTGTTAGTGCACTGATAATTTTGTATGTCTTTTCTGCTTCATCATCTGCATCTTACTGTGATTTTATCCTTTTTATTTATTACAGATATTTGCTGCTTATATGTATTCGTGTGCATTTCAGTGCATAAAGCATCATCTTTCTTTCCACTTCTTTCTTAATTATTCATAGTGATGTGGGTGCATTATTAAATCTCTAAACTGAAAATGAATCCGATATCTTTCTCATTTTCTTGTCTTTCTTTTCAAACTGCAATTTGCTCCTTACAAAAATCTTTTCAAATTTCGAAAATTTCTTTTTTTGAGTTTTTTTTGTAAAGAATTTCAAATCCTCCGGAAATTTTTTCCTACGACTTTGTTTTACATATTATTGTCAGCTCAATATCCAAAACTTCCTCATTTAGAGATTCCAGGATTCCAGGAACAAGCATAAAGATGGTTTATTGATTGTTTATTGTTACTTCCCGGTGTTCCAAATGCTTAGCTAACTTATCTCGTGTATTTGTTATTTAATTATGAATGATCGAGTTCTGGACTTGTTTTTTAAATTCCAAGTTTTATTTCTTGTAATTATTCAGTTTCTTCTTTTTCACAGAAGGCTTTAGAAATTTTTAAAGATTCCTGGTATGTTATTTAATTTTTTTCTTTTCATTCATTTCTCTATCTCTATGTGTATTGTGTACGGATATCATAGCTAACTTGAAAATTAGAGCTTCTTCTTTTCCATATTGCATTTGAGTGTTGCATATCAGTAAATCGATTTTAAAATAATATTTCGGTTTCCATTTTTAATGAATTATTTTCAAATTTGAAATTTCTACAAAATATCATTTTAGTATCTTCGATAGCCCTTGTGTACATATACGCTCTTAAGGCCGCAAGTTGGATCACTGTAGAGAAATTCTAATTAGTGTTCCAATAAACTAACTATATCTATTTGCTTTGCTTGAATAGTTCTATATATTGTTGCATTATAACTCACCAAATGCAGCAATGCAGAGTGCGGTATAGTATGTAAATTGCCCACATTCAAAAAATTAATTCTGGAAAAACCGAAAGGATGTGATTATAAAGAGTGGCAAGATTAGTTATGGTTTCATTGTTTTCTTTAGCCAAAGCTTCATAGATCATATTTAATTGTTACAGGTTCTTCTTTGTAGTAATTGGACATACCAAAAGTCCTTGCAAGTGATGTTTCACTTTTCACATGGTTTAGCCGTTGGATTTGCGGGTATTTCCTGTCTGGGTTGATTTAAGCATTTCTTACAGCAACACTAAGTTATTTAAGTCTCGCACGACCCGATGTCACTTGTTTTTATCAATTTGCTCGAACTCAAGCTATTCGTTCATTTTATTATCAATGGAAGAAATATCCGGATGGTATTTCCAGTCTTTATTTTTTTTCTTTACTAGGCGTTTTCTAACCTGCAGTTAATGATTAGCTGCTTGGACGATCAGCAGCTGTCATCGATGCAATCGACGTCCGAGCTTGGTGACTCACGGAAAAAATTAAGACAAGTGGAATGCTGTGTACATGGCCGACCATGCGCTATTGCGTCCAAACTATCACGGGTGTTATTTTTCGTTAGCTATAAAATTGATAATGTGTGACAAGTGATCGATACATAGATCAAAACTCCCTTTCTCTTTCTTGCACTTCAAAATCGGTATGCAGAAGTTCGAATCAGCTGTCCCTACCTTTCATATCTTTCATTTTTGAGAATTTTAATCAAGAGATTGCTTTTTCTCCGAGACTATGTCTTTGTTATAAACTCTACATGTATATCTTGATGTGGAGGAAGAGTTCAGGAGAAGGAGGAAAAAGCCAACCATGATTCTTCATCAGGCTCGCACAACTTGACAGGATCTGGTTACAAAAGTTTTTTTGAGAAGTCTGAGTCACATGTGAACCACCATGATGATAGCTCATACAAACTGCGCAAGAAGATTGAACGTGAAGGTATTCTTATTCACGAATTCACTGGACAGGTTAATTTTCTGAAGCATAAAGGTGGAGAAAGTGAATTTTTCGCTAAAAAATAGGTAATGCGACGATTTTGTAATTTTGGCACACGTATCTCAAGAACACATGGAATTCTCCGAGAAAATTTTCGAAAGAAATAAAAATTACAAAATGTAAAGTGTGGGAAGATTTATCGTTCTCGACATATTACTCAACAAATATCACCGTTTATAGCACTGGACGTCCCGGTAAGTACATGGAATTTCGGTGCATCTCACTCATCGACCTCTCCATTCACTTCTGAACCGATTACACGTGTGTCTGAAGTTGAAGACGTGGGATTGCTACGTATTCCCAGTAAAGAAAGAGTATGCTATTATTGTTGTTAATTTGGCTTTTCCCAATTTCTCAAATTCTTCAAGATGTCCAAGTCTCTAATTTCTTCAAAATTTCTATTTTACGGCCTTTTCGAGTTCTCACATTCCATAATGGTAATTTTGGAACTTTAACCGAAGAAATTTTAGAGATCCCATTGATAACGTCCTGTACCAGTGTTCTTTTTTAAAGCGAACTGTTAAGTTCCATGGGAAATTGAAGCGAAGGACATCTCTTCTAGACAGCAAATACTTCTACAGAGTTTTATCGTAAAGCGTTACAGCATACTGGACATAGGGCAGAACACCTAGGTCTGTCTAGAACTATGGATGCACCACCTATTGGCCAAATGAAAAAGCTAACTACTTCAAAAGAAAGGCATGACCAATATGAAATGATGCGCCCGTAAGCATTTCACCTCCTCTTTTCATGAATCATCACATCCACTAACTCCATGCTAAATATTGTCACTTGCATTCACTGGTTGTCGTTAAACCCATGTCTCACCTCACTTCATATCATAAATGTAGCCGAATTTTTGTATCATGAGAGCTGTAAGTGGCATTGCAGGACCACTCTGGCACCACCACCTATGTCCAAAGAACATGCAGTGCGAACAACGCGGATACACGGCTCAGCGGAAGTGTCACCATCAGTGGAAGCCTACATTGGAATATTGACCGCAAAGCAAGCTGAGGAATATATTATCAAGCCCGCTTCATTCAAACTCTACCATCTGGTGGAACTTCAATTCTCCAACATCATATTGTAAGAAAAGTAAGCCAGCCTGATTAAAAAGACTGATTTATTCATGTCTAACTTCTTTCAGATGCCGAAAATCGATTCATTAAACGACGTATTACCATCGCTCGGTCTTTACATAATTTATCGAAGTGGTACAGGTCACGTGTAGTACGCTTTACATTACTTTCATACGATGCCAAATTAATACTGCTTTTGGAAGATTTTAGTTGCATTTAAACAAGTGAGACATAAGTCTTCGAGAGAATAATGCAACCAAACACACTACATCTTCTCACAGTTTAGAAAAGCTTGATTTTCATAGAAATTCGCGCTAAAGTATGCTTATAAAGCTAAAGTACAGTATCTTGAGCATAACCAATGAACAGGTCTATAATAAGCTTTGTTGTGCATTTCATCATTATTTTTTTCAAAATGAGTGGTCGAGAGGTCCTTGTTAAACGAATATTAGCAATGGTGATCAGCTATGACAAAGGATTTGACGAAGTACATCCAAGGCTCCAAATTTATACTAATATTTTACTGTGGAATTATTGGGAACTGGCTTATAAGTGCTGAGAGTTTTAAATTGCGCATAGTTCGAGTACTGAAAGTTCTTTTAGTCATTATCCAATCAGACAACGTCAACAACATCTGGATTACTCGAAGACAAGATCCAGACATGCAGTACTTACCAGTCTCCAAGTTAGTTGCTCCCAGCGAGAATTCTTGGAATCATAGTTTCTTGTCATTTCATGGAAAGAAAAAACATTAGTTTAGGTAATGATTTTGAAAAAAATTCAGGACGATCAAAAATACAAAAGAAATGTCAAAAATACAATTCGATGCAAAAGCTAAAATTTTGATTTAATATAATTGTCATTTGAATTTTCTCATTTTTTCAATTTTTGAAAACATTTACTGGTCTGATCAAATACAGTAACTTTATTTTTCCAATTGTAAAACCTCAAGATACAATTCAATGCTGTCTAGGTAGAATACGGCGATCCAATGGCACCATGGTTTTCCAACTTGGACGTATTGGTCAGCTATTACAACGTTTACGTCCACTTACATGATGTGGACGGCGAATGTGTTGCAGACATATTTCCAGTTAATGGAATGCAGCACAACAGTAAATCGTATCAGCACAGATTACCAGTGTTTCACTGATGATACTCGAAAAGCTTTGGTGTACGCTCTCTAAATCACTCTACTGTTTCATGTTTATGAGCAAAACTGTGAATCAAAATTTAAAAAATAATAGTCTTAACAAATATACTGCCTAAAACAGCCTTTCTTTTTTACAGAAAATCAATAAATCTATATTAATGCAAACCAATCCTCCCAGACAATCCATCAGGAAAAATTTGTGTAAGACAACTGTTGGGCCCAATAAGTTATGTACATTATATCATAAAAACATAAATAGTAAACACAATCGAATGGGATTGACTGAAAGTCATCTCTATCCGAAGCAAGTTTGTGTGACGTAGTGTATGTGATGTGTATACAGCATACGTGTATCTGACATCTGAACTGTATGGGTGTGTTGTATGTGTACGTAACGCAAGTACGTGAAGTATGAAGTATATAAAGTATGAAGTATGTGAGTTTGCATGTGTCTCGGCGTGTTTGTGATGTACATGTAGGAAGTATGTGATACACGTAAATGTGACATGTATGAGAAGGAAATGTTTATGGCGTACGTAGACTAGCATACGCATATGCGACGTACGTGTGTCGCGAATTCCGATTCGCGAGACTCTAACCATACAAATATATAATCAAATAAATTTCCTATTGCAAATCATTTAACCAATTTACATTGTTTAGAATTATCTCCCATATG